GTTGGCTGTGGGTTTGGACCTGGATAGTTGGTTCCGGTACATCGGGAGGTTTTACGAGGTGCATCAAAAGATGACCAACCGAAGATCTTTGCGTCCAAGTGCCTAGGGCCATCTGTCATCCTTGCATAGATCAGTGCTCTTTCTACTTGCTTGATTACCCTAAAGTTGGAGATGCCACAGAACTATCGATATTCGCCCATAAAAATGTCTCCAATTTCTCCGATCTATTTGCAGACCTTGCCGTGCACCCACATGACCCGGGTGAGAGTGGAGGACCTGCAGAGAGCCGTAGAGATGCTGGACTCGATGATTTCTGAGCACCGATGATAGCAGACGAGAGTGTATGATCAAATGGGTTGGAAAACGCCGACCTTAGTGGATAACAGGAGCAGTTGCGGGATCTGTTGCCTACAAGAGAATTCGTGACCATTTTCGGTATTCAATGCCATTCGCCGTGGACATTATTCTCGTGTTTCTTAGGAATTGCCATCCTTCAGCGTGATTTCTACTACAAATAGCTACATCGATTAATGGGAACTGCCTGATGCGTTCCGGGTTATTATTCTCAAGATGCTCCCTAAAATCAGATCCATGGTGAGGCGCGTCCAGGTATCTCGCTTCACCATTCTTATTCATGCTTCACTTGGGGCTTGGAGGCGACTAGGCTGCATTTGCTGGCTGCATTGTATGGCTGCTACATGAAGCGCAAAGACATTGGTGAGCGAGCGCGTATATCCATTCTGTTACACGATTTGTTTTTCTTTTACGTATCGTAGCATGAGGCTCACACTTCAGGGCAACAAAACGCCGCCGCGGTTGTCATGGTGTAGTCACTCGTATGTTGCTGTTAGTGTGTCTGTATTTTTTTTCGTTGAATTCACTAAAGCAGCTGATGTGAAAGCGCCTATCTTTCTCATTTGCACTGTTTTCCTTTTGCTGCCTGCTTGGGAAGTGGTGATTTTGTTGTAACTCTAGGGCAGTCCTGCTCGCAGATAACCTCGACACAATGGGACGGAAGGGCGTGTTTCAAAAGAAAGGAGCGGGGGCAGGGGCAAGACGAAGGGGGCTAAGCTACACTTAAACGCTTCCCACTAGCTACGTTAAAACAAGTAAATCATTCAATTCTTTATATCTCTGTTCGTACATCCTACTAAGTGTAGGGCAGCGTGAGCCGGATTCAAGACGCAACGTTGGACGCGTGTACGCTGTACACCATGGTCAATTATCTGTGGATGATCGGAGTCGCTTTGAGGGTCAAGTTACGCGCATCCTAAGTGTTTTTTTCCCTTATCTCGGGAACTATAGAGTGCCGTGGGCACGAAAGTGAGAGGTGCTTGAGGAAAAGCTTGAGATCTATTCATTTCGTATTGGGTCTGGAGGTATAGGTTTTCGTAATCACGTGAGTTGGAGCGTTACAAATGATTATGTGCTCGCCACTCCCATGCTGTCGATTAAAGTATGTCTACCTGTTCCTCTCTTTCCTCATATGTTTCTTCTTTCCCATTACCCATTGATTGCATGTGTCCACCACAGACCGTGTAAGGGCGTAGGTCTCCTGAGGTGTAACACTTCATCAAGGTCCTTGTCAAATGATACAAAGTCGATTGAAGATCTCGGACTCTTTGGAAAACACTTCTTTACGTGCCCTCCAAAAAGTGCCCTTTCTTCGTTCTGCGTGCGTCCCTAAAATTTCCGATGTGAGGAGTGCGAAACACTCACGATGTGCGTAGCTGCAACTTCGAGCATCCAGATGCTTGCCCGTGGCATCCAGCGTGCACGCGCCCAGTGTAGCTTCATGAAACCAGTTCACGCTACCCTACGCGAAGTATGACGTCGAAGAGACAAGGCCAATGAGTCAATGTTCAACTAACCCCAGACATACACGATTAGTGTAGTAGAGCCTGCCAGCGTGCGGCGTGCCTCGCTCGCTACAGACGCTACAGCTCTGAGGACAGACGGCCGCGCCTATGTGGCCTTCGCCATACAACTTGGCGTCAAGGAGATCGAACGCTGGGGAAAAGCCGCCGTGTACTCACCACGAAGAGGCGAAATTCCGTTGCCACACTACGTGCTACCGCGGCGAGGTGAAATCAGGGGTTTCCCGCCTTAGATCCTCCCTGCTACCCTCTAAGCCAGCTACGCCGCAGCACTATGCTGGCTGTCTGTCAGAGACTGCCTGGCCCTGAGAACCCTCTGGCGAAGCCTTCTACAACACTAACCACCTGCATGCAGCAGCGGCAATAGAAAGACTGGGCATTTTTTAAAAAGATGCACATCTATACTGGCTCCCTCCCTCGGTTGGATATGGTAAGGAGAGCCTCTTGCAGGCCCTGCTAAGCGCCAATGCGGCTACGTGCGCCTGGATGCAACACCCAAAATCCTTCACTACGTATGCTGCCGTCCAGTGTCGCGATCACCATAGGAGAAAAACGCGCCTACACAAACAAGAAGTCCCAGGTAGTGCAGCACCAGCAGCAAGCTAGTAACCATAGGAAGTGCAGCGCAGGCAACCGCAACAACAGCAGCAGCAGCTCCCGTCCTATCAAACGCGGCTCCTCGCCGTGTGTGTTACTGACTGGTGCCCAAACGGCTGCTGCCAAGAGCATCCAGAAATCAGTACGAAACAAATTGACGATAAATGCGGCTGCTCCATACCACAGAAAGAACAGAAAGAGCAAACCACCACACTCCTGCTGTATGCTGCACTTGCCGCTTGCCCACCCTCTCCCTTAACACCGGGTATCTCTAAACGCCTACTGCAGTAGCAATACACAGGGCAGCAGCCACAGCGGCAACCAGGGAAGTAGCGGCAGATCACGCGATGTCTGCGAGAGCAGCGGCTGCCTAACAAAGTGTGGTGGTCCGCCTGCTACAGCGGCCGCTGCCGCTGTCAAACTTGGAGCATTTCCCACTGACAAACGAATTCACAGCAGCCGAGTGGCACGTGCTGACTCGAATGCTGCCCCTGCTGCTACTAAGGCTGCTCCCGCGGGAGAAAAGGCTCAAAAGGAAGAGCGAGAACCCCACGAGGACCGCCATCCATGGAGAATGCAAAAAAGTCAAATGCATGCAAAGGGCCTCTGGGCATGCATGTTGTTGCTGCTCTCGCCGACTCGTGCGGCGAGGGTTACGGTCTCCTCTAATCTGATAGAACCGACAGCAGCCGAAGCAGTGGATGCCTATCTGCCCTGCTGCTGCTGCTGCTCCTCCTACTCCTTGTGCAGACTAGCTGCTAAAGGCTCGTGCACGAGCCGTTAGACTGGACCACGTTTGCTGCTGCATCTGTATCTTGCCCCCAAGGAAGCACAGCAGCACCAGTTGCAGCGATCCGCATGTGTGACTGCGACCCTTCCTACCACGCGCAGCCTCGATAGAGGTGGTCTTGTTCTAAACGGTAGGGCACACCCAGGGTAGTGTTATCACACTCGCGCACTGCGGTGGCCTGCTGCTGCTGTTTTTGCTGCCTTTTTGCTGCCGTTTCTGCTGCTGTTTTTTTCAATGCATCAGTTCACGCGACTGGGGGGCTTGCGTCATCATCTTCTCGGGGAGAGTGACCCCTAGGTGCCTTTGCCGGGGTTGAAGGGGAGCCTGCATCCACACACACACACATAAATCCACAGAACGTTAGCAGCAAACGCAAGTGGACGCCACACAAGCTGCTGCAACAACATCTCAGGAAGTAGCATAACGTCCAAAAGCAACGGCACTGCAGCAAGAGAAGCCCTACTCCTGAACGCGGAGAAAAAAATTGCGACCATGATGAGAATCAGGGAGGCAATCTGAGTCGGCGAGAGGCCCCCCGCCGTTGCCTGCTCTCCCCTTCCACCTTCTACAGATCCTGATGCTACCGCTGTGGTGTCTCCCCCCGAAGGTAACACGTCGCTTGGAGAACCTAATGCATTCGCGGATGCCACGGCGTCGCGCACGGCCCCCATCAACCCCGCCAGAGAGCTGCATATACACCCAACTAATTCGTCTGCCATCTTCACTCCTATGAGAAAGAGCGTTGTGGGTGCTGCCGCTACTGCTGTAACTGTTGATTATAGCCTTTTTCCCCTGGAGGGCGAACTGCGGCTGCACGTGAGAGGGTCGTTGTTGCCTTGGGGGGGCCGCAAAACACGGCCTCTTGATGAAGTTGTACAAAGATGCAGCACAGCGAAAGCAACGCCTGACTGGCAGTCTGTTGGGCTGCTGCTACTACTGAGTAACGGTCCGCTTCACAATAGGTTTGCGGCTGGTGGTAGCGCGGCAATGCTGCTGCAATGAAGAATCTTCCGTAAGCGCAAATGCAGGGCGAAAGGGATTCGCAAATAGGCTACTACTGCTGCTAATTCAACTTGTGCTGGGGTGGCATTGCTGCTGCTGCCGCAGGACGCGAGCCGCTCGACTGGTGCGCTCAGCAGCTGCTGCCTGCTGCCCAGATTTTCTTTTGCTGCTAGCATAAAAGAGCATTCATAGCGAACCGCTACACAAAATTGCAAGTATCTGTTTACAGGTGTTTTGTTCGACATCCGAAATGCAGATTTCTCCTTTGCTTGTGTCTCCCTGTAGTTGCTACTGCTGACGCTGGCTACTGGTACTGCTGCTGCTGCCGCTGCCTCTGCTGCGGTGTGGCCTCCGGGGAATTTTGCCTTTTCATTCCGCCACACAGGTCTGACCTCTCTTATCACGCAAGATTGGGCTAGATACTGAAACAGCAGTAGAAATAAACACCAGGAGCAGAGAGGGCGGCGGCTGCTGCTGCTGCAACGGGGGTATTACAGGTCGTGCCTCCGGTCGGTACAGCGCAGCGGTTTGGGAGCAGCAGCGACGATAAGCTATATATATTTCAACTCTAAATTGCAAATTCAGCTTTCAGGGTCCAGCTGCTAGCGACGCAGGGCACTGGCAGCTACGTTCACAACAGTATAGGCAACACGACACTTAGCACAGGCATTTCGTTCCGGCGCTCTCATGAGCCGGAGGATAATCTCGTGCAACCTCAGGACTCCATTGAAGTGAAAATGGCAGACGAATTAGTTGGGTGTATATGCAGCTCTCTGGCGGGGTTGATGGGGGCCGTGCGCGACGCCGTAGCCTCCGCGAATGCATTAGGTTCTCCAAGCGACGTGTTACCCTCGGGGGGAGACACCACAGCGGTAGCATCAGGATCTGTAGAAGGTGGAAGGGGAGAGCAGGCGACGGCGGGGGGCCTCTCGCCGACTCAGATTGCCTCCCTGATTCTCATCATGGTCGCAATTTTTTTCTCCGCGTTCAGGAGTAGGGCTTTCTCTTGCTGCAATGCCGTTGCTTTTGGACGTTATGCTACTTCCTGAGATGTTGTTGCAGCAGCTTGTGTGGCGTCCACTTGCATTTGCTGCTAACGTTCTGTGGATTTATGTGTGTGTGTGTGTGTGTGTGTGTGTGTGTGGATGTGTGTGGATGTGTATGTGTGTGGTTGTGGATGTGTGGGTGTGGGTGTGGGTGTGGATGCAGGCTCCCCTTCAACCCCGGCAAAGGCACCTAGGGGTCACTCTTCCCGAGAAGATGATGACGCAAGCCCCCCAGTCGCGTGAACTGATGCACTGGCAGCAGCAGAAACAGCAACAGCAAGAGCGGGCCGTGGTCGTGTCGTGATTGCGTATCCCCGTATTTCGTTTTTCGATCGTTGAAGTAAAACTATCTAGCAGAGATGTGAGCAACGATTTGTGTCGAGTTGCTTGCCGGGCTGGCACTAAGGGACCGACTAAGGCAAAGGGAGCAAAACGCTGACCTCAAAAAAGTCGAAGGAGGACGCAAGACCCCTTTCCCAATTGCTTCATAGTTAATAGGGCATCCCCATGTGAATTGACAGTGCAGATTAGACGAGACGTACACCTCAACGAGTTTACTGCCACGAAAACGCGTGGCACCCTTGCTGCTCATGTCGAACATGGATGCTCTTCTCGTCGCTTCGCGCATCAGCTCCACATGTAGTGCAGGCTTACTGTTCCAATAGCTGGACGTGTGCCTGGAGACACGCGCGTATATGCAGCCAGGAAGGTGCAGCAGGCGTTTCATGCACGTTGCTTCTGCGGGAATGTGGTGCTTCATGGTGAGCACGAGTCATGCACTGTTCGTTAGCCGAGATGGTCAGCCCGTGTCCTTACGTTGTACAAATTTGTGTTTCGATTTTGAAATTGAAAGTCGGCTGTTGGTTGGATGTGGATCCAGCAGTTCAGGAATTCGTACACCTGACTGCTGTTAGCGGGAGGGCCAGTCACATGGAACAGCAACACATATCCAATACGCCAGACTTTTCTTAGATTCTTCTGAACTTTGGGTGTGCCTTTTCATCTAAAACGAACTTCACGGTAGAACTGAAACGTTTGCAGGTCTACTGAAGCTGCACATACGGCCTAGTGGTTAACTGGGGACTCGTATGCACCTGCACTCAAAGCCACCGTTTGAAATAGCGCCGACTGGCATTGCATGTACATATTTACTAACGCCGAGTTGCGTCCCTTGTGGAACGCTGGTCATATGCAACTGTTAGTTCAGCTTAACAGCCTTTGCCTATGGTTTGGCTTCGTAATAGCCGATGGAATGCGCAAGAAGCAAGGCAGGGAGGCCAGATGCACGCAGTGAGCGCGCGGTGGCGGGGCCTGCGTATCTGTTTGCTTCTGTTGATTGACTGACGGATGAGCCTTTAGTTCATATAAAAACTTCTATGCTTTCCTAAACCGCATGATGAGACGGCGCTCGACCAACAAATTTTGAAGCCCGGCCGTCCGCAGAGCTCGGTTTCGTTGTTAGCGCGAGCATTGCTTGTGCTGTCTTTAGCTCCCCCCGCAGTGGAAACACGGATTTGAGGAACGGGTCAGCCAGGGTATTCCGGCTGCACAGTCGCGGTGTGTCATCGCATATTTTCTGGTTGATTGTGCACTGTTGTCGATTGAATGCTAGGCAGCAAGGTCCACGCCGTCTTCAGTTTTCTAAATTGGTCACCACAGTTTATTACGGCGCATACAATTAACCACTCAATGAGGTTTCAACGTCCAGGATGTCGACACCGCAAGCATAGAGGATGACAGTAGGTGCTGCACCGCGTGCGCCTCGAGTGCTTTGTGGACGTTCTTGTGCCTATTTCAAAGGGTCCCCCCCTGCGTGCTCTGCTATCTCCTGCAGCTGCATCAAGACAGGCAGTTTCTGCAATATGCTACGGATAATTAGGTGGGACGCCCCGCCCCCTAGACCCCCAAGGTGATGCCTAGGAGCATGGGCAGCTCACTAGCCTGTCGTGTTTCGGCCAGCTAAATGAGAAAAATAAAAGTGTGGCCAGCACGAAACAAAACCATTGAAACGTTGCTTAAGATGAGCCAACAAGTCCGCTAAGACCGACGGCCACATGCCTTCACGCCTGCGAGCTTTTTAGCCCGGGCAGGGGAGGGAGGAGCCACACTCAGACACGTCGCTACTGCAGCCAGTGTCCAAGCCTCGAAAGGCTCAGTGCATCTCCCCTGAGCGAAAACACTAACCTAGCGTGCCCCTTTGCGCAACCCAGCGAGGAAGCGACAAATAGAAGCCCTAGATGCGCACTAGAGAGGGCTACCGTATACCAAAACACAGACGCAAACCATTGAAGCAAGCAGCGGGCCGCTGCACCCCTTCCTGCAGCACGGGCCAAACGTACAATTGACCAACGACGGTTGCAGGCTTGTGATCATCCTTTTTACAGTACTAGATGCCTTCTATCTTGCGAATTATCCAGCTGACAGGCTGAAGGATCGGGAAGTCCAGTATCCAGTGGAGGTTTAGTGCACAGAATTCATCGTAAAAGCACTTCTTACAGTACGTACACCTCATCTCTGCTCCGCGAGCCGCGCCGTTATCCACCTGCCCAAGCCCCTGCGTGCCCTCCTCTCTGCTTGCGCCACTCTCTCCGTCGAAGATCTTCCGAATGCTACCCAACTCCACAGCAGCAGCATCCGGATGTCTGCCCGACGCCGTCTCTTGGAGTCCGTCATCCTCCCCAGCCTCGAGTACCCTCGCAACTGCTCCGGTCTGGGAAGCTTCGGATCCAAGTGCTTTCCAATCCCCATTCTTAGGTTCCATTGACGAGACGGCTTGCTTGCAGATATCGGCGTCCCCCTGTTCCCCCCAGTAACCCCATCCAGTCAGCTTCCCTGCGCCCTTCTTCTGCACGAGCTCGATGGTGAGGATCAGATGATACACGAACCACCACAAAACGCCAAAGAGGAGTGCCAGCAACACGTCGATTGTGTAGTGGTTGTAGCACAAAGGAATCAGCACCCACAGAGCCAACGCCTGCACGTAACAGTAGTACCTGAGGATCGGTAGACGCGACACCGCGCTAAACAGCTTTCTTATAGGGCCTCGAGAGCGATGCTGCTCGCTGTCTCGACACACTTCAAGAACCTCCTCAGGAGGAACAGGAACAAAGCTTCGTGCCGCTGCAGTTGCCACTGGCCTGCTGCACCCTTCTTTCCTCAGCCGACGCCAAGTCTTGTAGAAGGCGAGGCACTGGTCGAGAAAGCTTCCCTTGAAAGTGTTGTACGGCTTGCCGGTGCAAGTCACATCCCGACAATAAAAACCCTTGGGGGAACCTCTTTTCGCAGGAGCCGACTGGCAGCGTCCGTAGAAACTCCAGGATAGGACTGCATGCATGATGTTGAGACTATGACCAGAAATGATCATGCCTGTGCATTCATCATTATGGCCAATAGCCTGCCTCACTATGGCTACGATGACCTCTTTGGCATTTTTCGGACGTCGCACGATGCAGTAGACATCAGAGGATGGTACAGTTGTCACGACGATGGCTATTGCTCGCATCCAGAAACCGAGGGCCACTAGACTGCAAATGCGACAGACCACCTGCACGTTCAGCGGGAAGGGTAGCATCAAAACGTGGCGAGTGATTGACAAGAAGACGCACGTGAAAGTGCACGCGTCAATCATCACCGACAGCCACTCCGGCACTTCCCTGCGGTGCATAACCTGGTCGTGTAGCCTGTCCGGCAGCGGGCGCTGCTTGTCAGGGTCATAGAAGCTGTCAGAGATAAGGGAGACGATGCTGATACCGATTAGTGTCACAACCATTACGACCACTGTCCACACAAGGCGGAGCACATGGTGTTTTAGGCTTGCGTTGACGTGCCATATCGGATGGAACATGGAGGTGGTCGTGTCACATTGGCACGCCCCCTTGCTGTTCATAGTGATGGGGCAGAGCAACGCAGAACGCGAAATCTCAAAACAGAAATATACAACTGCGACGAGGGGAATACCCCTAATATACACCTTTCACCAGGGCTATGAACGGCTCCAGCATGGCGCAGTCAAAAGCCCGATTGACTTGAGGAACTTAGACCCTTGGCCTCCACTGCTGCTGAATCGCACCGAGAGTATACCGTCACGACCACTTCGGTAACCCGCGCTTCTCTTCAAATCTCATCATGAGCAGCTCCTACGCAAACTAATTTCCCTCTGCGCAGCTAGGGAATGCCTGTACAGCCTTGCGTTGTGAGACGGATTGCAGACGATGAGTTTAGCCAAGAAGTGCAAGATGCGGGAATTATAAATGTAAAGGGGAGGGGGAAGAAAACGGCAGGAGCGTTTGTTTGGGAAGCGCGGCGGGTGCCTACCAAACTCACGCTGGAAACCACCAGATATCTGGAGAATACCTGTCTACAAACGCTGCTCTGCTTCAAAATGGAAATTGAATAGTCAATTGATATGAGGAGCGAGGCCAAACACTGACGAAGTGAGCGTGCAGCGGTTCCAGTTCTGCAGAGAATCAGAAGTGACTTTCCTTATCTGCATTGGCGGTCTGCTGCCATGGTGTACAAGCACCAAATAGGAGCAAACAATTTGATCTAAAAAGAAATTTCCCCGTTTATTGTTAAAAGAGGCCAAAACGACAAGGTTCCACAGAACGGCACTGCTGGTCAAACACTTCCCGAAGCCGCATGCAGGATTGGAGTAATGTCAGTTCATTGGCTGTCTGGGGAGTAAACCCCAATGTTTTCCCAATCCTAAATAATTTTCGGCTGAAAAGCACGAGTCAAGGCCTCTCCAGCAGCGAGACGAGAATCGAAGGTAAATAGGGGGGAGGGGCGTGCAGCGGAGGCCCGGTGTTGCATGCGGGAAGTTTCGACGACTGTTCTAGACTTCGACCATACAGCGGCATTCAAATGAGATAAGCACGCATTTTTTCGAGAAAAATTCTCATAAAATCCTGCTGCCTTGAATGGAGACAAATTTTTGACTCGATGAAAAGGCTGGGTTTTTTCACGCAGCATGCCATTCCACTTCGCCATGTGTGCTGAGGTGGGACACACATTTGAAACTTTCTCCCGGACAAATTAATTATTTTGTATTATGAAAGGCTGAATATCCGTCTTGGCTGTTCATACACGTTAATGGCACGCAGAAGACAAAACTAAACACACGAAGAAGCAATTTAGTGCGTCTGTGCATGCAAAGGACTCGATCTGAAGTCTCTGCACATTTCAATGGGAAGTCAACACAGGCTTAAAAGTAAGCTATTGAAGGATCAATACATAGATTTTACCTTCCCCTACCCGCTCTCAGACTCGGAACACTGGGAGCATTCACAGCCAGCTGTGTCTAGCATTGTTGCACATGCACACAGCGTCTTCTCATGTGAAGCCGACGCTACTCCCTAGTAATAAAATGAGCGAACACACACATCCAAACGTCATATGTGCACTTTTCTGTAGTGGAATATAACTAGTGCAGTGATGCTGATCACCCCGCTAAAGGGAGCCTAATACTGCGGAAAACAGAAACAAAATTCGCAGTCAAAAAACACCCTAATTCTGAAGTGCATTCGGATCTCATACAGTGAGGTCTTCGTGCCAATACACGCAGCACAGACTGGAAGTAAGCCAGAACGCACTGAAGCATTTAGAAACCCAATCGTTAGCTATAGTCCTGTGGAATCAGTGGACCTACCAGATATAAGCTCAGAAGAATTGAACGACCTCCTGAGGCGTGCCAGAGCTGTCGCAAGGCATGAAATGAACATACATGCTGAGCCTGTCGGCAATAGCGATGCTTCTCTAGCCAATAAATTTTTTCAGCCCAACAAAACCATGTCGCAGTAATATCAGTCTAAGTCCTTTCTGGAGCCGAAAACTTTTGCAAAAAGCTGGCTGTAGGAGAGTTTCACGTCGGCTCTTTGAAATCTCGGCAACACAGTGCATGCTCCTCTGCCGTTGGACGTATCCCAGGCTCTCAGACAAACCGTTAGAGCTCTTCCACTGTGATGTGTACAACGCCAGGAAAAGAACATGGTCATGTACTGTGCGCAATTCAGCATTTCCAAAGCGAAGTCGATCAGACACAAGCAACAGAATCTCCAATTACTTTTGTACCACAGAAAGTCATTCTCGACGTGGCAGTGTTCAACCATTTTGCCACTCTAAATTTTTGCAGTAGTGGCGGATCCGTGGGTGGTAAAACCATAAAACACATACAATTTTGGTAGCAACTGTGAATCCTCGCAGATTAGAGCGGCTGCACTGTGCACTGATGAACTGGGGCGGTGTGAGACAGTGTCAGCGACCTCGTTGTTCATGCCCTCAATATACTTCAGTGCATACTCGTACGGGAGGCGTCCAGGCCAACGAACAATTCTAGGATGATGAAACTCCTGACAGCCGTATATAAGTCAGAGAAAATACTACCGGTCAGTCTATACAGTAGAAGGACGTCCTCATGAGTGATGCCTGCATTTTTCACGCCCCACCACACTTGTATAGGGTTCCTTTCCCGCACTGAATGCCCCTTTACTAGACACCCTAACTCGCTTTCGGTGAAACAATGAGAATAGCAAGAAAAAATTTAGGGTCTTGGAGAGCTTGTAGCCTCTGGAGAGAAGAGAACACCCGCCACTTCGTCTCTTGCACCGGTTGTTAGAAAGAAACGACGATTGCCATCGGGCATTTTGAACGCCGGAAGAGTTGAAAGGCAGCTCATAAGTATCCCTGCTGCGGGACCAGCCTCCTCTCTGCAGGTCATAGCCTGCATTTACAAAAGAATAACAGTTAAGGATCAGCGATCCGAGCGAGTAAAAAATAAAATTTTGATAATGCGCAGGTCCATAGAAAATCTCCTCGCCCCTGCGGGTACGTTAAGGTCAAGTCCACGCCTGAATCGCTTCATTTTTTTGCCGTATCTGACTCTGTAACTGCAGCCGAAGAAACGAACTACCCCAAACAATCGTTTGCATGAAAAAGCTGCACGTTTGAATGCCTTCACATAGCAGTCCTTTCCCCGCAACAACTGAAGCGCACGTCGCCGGTGCCGACAGGCTCAGCATATATGTGGGAGCATTGTTTTGTGTCTGAGATAAGGGTAAATGGCAATTGTGCCTGTGAATTCAGATGCCGGGTACTCTGAGTAGTTTTCCAAATATTAAGCTGCATCAGGAAGGTTCTGCGTCACAGTAACTTGTTCAGGGGCTTAACGTTAACGCACATGGTCCAACTTCTGTTCTTTGTCGTCACCAACACTGACTGATGTTTGAAAGCTTTGCTTGCTTCCGGCACTCTGCCTCTCCCCTGTCTGTCGCTCAAGCTCATTTTATCTTGTGTGGGGTTCCAATACCGCAGCGCATAGCTTTTGACTGACCCGGGAATTAGCTCGATATAGCGCTGTGGACGACTAGCAGGTGGTTATCTGCTTGGTGCTGTAGCGAACATTGTTAGACACCCCAGGTGCAAGAGTATGCTTACGTTGTGTAAAGACTACTAAATGACTAAGTACTACAATTCTTTAATAATCTCAAACACGCACTATCCGAGGTCCCTAACCTCTGTATCCAGTAGACTCTCAGGCGTAGTCCTCTGTGCCTCTTTTATCAACTAAGGCGACCGTGGCTACATTTCGGACTTGCATCCAAGGCTTATTGCATAGCTGTGATATGCTCTTTCGTGTTCTGAGCTTGCCAATATATCTTTCTCATTTTCTGAGGTTCAAACCTTCGCTGACAAGCTTATGCTATTGTAGGACTGCGCACTACACAGCTCCTCATTGAAAGACACATCCGCGAAATCCTTCTTCAGATTTGCTTATTTCTGCCGTTCCCCAGTAGAAAGATAGCTCAAGCTTCATAATGAGGAAACAATAGCAGAACGGCCAAGATGAGCTGCATGCTCTGGACCATGCTCCTTGCTGCACTGCAGAGCCACCCACATACAAGCTCTGCCTCGCCTTGTTGAGGTAAGGACTCCACCCCGCTTACCATAAACAAAATCAGTGTGGTTGCGAGGACCAGAGGGTGTTCTTCTCTAGCGCTTCCCAGCGCATCAACCTCCACCGCGGGTGTCCGGAACCGCATGTGCACATTCCATCGGAACACTCATGGCACACCTAGAATTTCTTAATGGTGCACGGGCCGTATATAGACACTATGCTAGTAGGACTCAATGCACGTTTCACGTGGCATTTTGCTGCAGCAGCCTTGCCAGTCCTGGCGTTCTGCTGCCCGATAGCGATTCAGGGTCATAGGGACCGTGCTGATGAGTGAACAGGTGAAGTTCACTTTCGCGCCGTCTCCTTCGATAACAGAGCTACTGCACATTCGGTCTTATCAACGCCAATAATGTGTGGCGATTAGGGTAAACGTGTATCTGAGCACAATCGGTCCGTGGTGAGTCTTTAACTGCGGCTCTATCCTCTGCAGCTGCCTTCACTGCGCCGCAGTCTGCGTGGGAGCCTTGCGCTGCCTCTGCAAATTTTCGCTTGTCAGTGACTCTGCTTTCTTTGAGCTTAGCCCATTGTTCAAGTTCCTTGGCTTTTGCATGCGTTCGCAATTCTAGATTATATGATATACTTTCCAAACATGTAATCAGGTGTGTTGTTAAGGGCAATTTGGGACAGCTGTGGTCCACCAGTTTCTTCTGGCTTGCATTTCTTGTCCACTTGGGATCGTAGGCTAGGCCCAGTTAAGGCACCTCCGACATCCACAATTTCTCATAAATCCTGTCCAGGGTTTTTCTTCTTAGGCACGACGCAGGAGGTGCACTCATTCGCCCTTCAAACGTCGCGTAGTCCAGCATTTGCAAAAGCCTTACCGGTCGGCCGTTTACTCTCTGAGGCGCTGCCCAAGCTGCAACCTAACGTGACCCTTCAGGCGATTCTCGGAAAACTATTGGTAAAGCAGGTATTCGTCTACGTTGTGAATTTACGAACCACAGCTTCATATTTGCCATTATAAGTGTATACTGGTAGATTTCCTTCCTTCGGATTTTTAGTTCTCTGAAAGCTTGTTGTTGAGCTGATCTCCGCGAAATTCATGAGCCAGAGTTTTATGAAGAGAGGAACTGCAGCGATTCCTGCACGCAGACAATTTCGTCTGCATGAGTAGAGTCACCATAAATTACTTCTATGTCTCCAACTAAGTGCCACGAGGAGCACTCATTTTATTTGATCTGAGGAGTACAAAGCGAGCCGCATCTCCCACAGCTAAGGAAATCTTTTACTTGCCGGTATTTACGGTCGCCATACATTTGTGGGCATGAATATACAATTATTGTCCAGCTAACAATCATGGCGTTCTACCAGCAGTAGAGCTACTGCATTCACCTTAGCTTGCAGGCCGGCCCCTACCGGCCCAACAAACGTTGTATCACCCTAGTCGTGCGTTGCAAAAGAATTTTATAGACTGTTGCCAAAGAAAAGCTGATTGCCAATGGCCAAACAAGTTTATGAAAACTCGCCAACTACGGTAGGGCAACGGAACATCCCCCTTAAACCCCATGATAGAGGGTCCGAAAGTAGCTGAGTCAATCATGCTGCATTACCAACTAGCACGCTTCGTTTACGGCCTCCGTGGAAATACGGTTGACGCAAGATTCAATACAGACTTGAGAAAAAACTTATAGAGTGTTTCTCGAGAAAATTCGTGCCTCACCCTGCCCGCGTCCCTCACAGTTGTGGCATGAGTAGAGAGGGACAGCTTAAGCATGGGCAACTGCACCCTCTGTGCACTCCGAGCAGTCACTGCTCGCTGCACATGGCATTTACAGCACACGCACGCACTAACTCCTATCGTCTTGGAGTAACAGCATTACAATCATACGAGAAACGAACATACATGCCAATGGTCAATTTTATAGTGATTAGATACCAATTCATGTTGTAGAGGGCTAGGCTTTGCCAATGGCACTTTCTACTATGCGTGTTCTGTTTACAAAATTCCGCGAGCACTGCTGTACGGCAACCATAAAGCAAAAGAGACCGAGTCGCATATCTGGATTATTTAGCTCAGTAGTTTGTTAAATATAGCTTTTATAATAGTAGCTGCGAAGCTCGATCTTCGCCCTCTGCACCACTGGCCATGGAACAGATGGAACACCCGACCTGCTACTTCCCGCCGTACTCCCTCTCTATCTTTGAATCATGTTTTTGTGCAGAATGTAGCCATCTTTCAACCTTATAAGCAGGGCGTGGCGACCACTGACCAGTTACTCTACAGAAGTGCATCGGTGTTTCTTGATAGTGCTCTCCTTCCGAGGGCAGATATTTTCAGCATTCCGCTTGATTCCCATTGAGCTCAGCGTCCTCTTCGCATTGATAATTTAAGCAATGTATTAATGCCTTCGTCCAGTGAATATATCTCGCATTGGCTGGCCCTACCAGAACAGTAGAATCATCCGCATGCAGCCCCGATATGCATGCAAGACTTGCTCTCCACCGCTAGGAGAACCTATGTTTCGCTAATAAATATTAATTTTACTTTATCGAGTATACAGAAACACAACTCACGCGGGCAGGGATACTCCGAGCTTTTCTGGTCGCCAGTTGTGCCTCCGAGTCCTGGCGACTGAGAAATGAGGAAGGCCAACTGAATCCTTGTTGCGCCATTAACATCGGGCAGCGTTAAGGAAAAACGACTGCAGCCGCGTATCATATAACGGCGTATCTTTTCATTTTCTAGCCGTCAGGATGAGTTCTGGTATGAAGTTCTGTCCAGAATGGTGATTCAGACACAACCCTCGACTTAAGAGAAAGCAACCCAAGCCAGCCAGTTCCTCATGATCCAGGTTCAGACTCGATTGATTCGTGATGGGTATATGAACATGCCGTATACTGCTTCACGCGGGTTGGTGATTGTTACGTATGCAGCAACAACATGTTGCAACCCAAGGAGGACCGACAGCGTCAGCAGCTCAAGTTCCTCTGCCGACGCTGTGACTTCTTTCGGTACGCAGAAGGAACGTTTGAAGAAAATTGCGTTGACAGAATCAACTTCAGCTACAAGTCAAAGTGAGCCATCGGGCAACTCTCCTTTACATCCATCTCTCGCGTAGCAAGTATCACTATCCCCCAAATTAGCGTTGTTTTGCAATGAACGCAGCAGGAGCCCGCTTCGATCAGCTGTTTTCTCTGTGAGTACCTGCTTTAAGGTTTGGAACAACCATTTACCGCTGGCTAAGAGATGGCTACGATTGCACATGTAGTGTGATGAGGCTGATAAAAACTGCGCAATTCGCTTCAGGGAAGATATGATGATTTCTCCAGACCTCTCTCAAGACCCCACTTTGGGTCGTGTGCCAGATTGGCGCTGCCCAGCGTGTGGTAACTTGGGGTGTGTCTTTTTCCAGCTTCCTGAGAGAGTTGCAGAAGATGCGATGACGCTAGTCTACGTTTGCACCAAGAGCGGCTGCGGCCACTCCGTGAAGCAGGAATCTGCACATGATATGGACGCAGATGCGGGTTAGCAGATTTACGGAATGTTATTCTCGGTGCAGTTGATTTTTGCACTTTGTTTTCTTACGCTCTAGTCCGAAGTGGACCTGGCACATTTACCCGGAGTAGAGATATGGCAACATTTTACATATGCTTGCCTTTAAGTATCATGCATAGGTAAGGCATGGTCGTAATAAGGAATTTACTGAACATTTTGTGATGGCTAATGCAGAGGACAGTCCTGACGGGTTAGGGCGAGTCAAGTCTGTGGGCTTCTCTGAAGTTAAGCCGCTACCAGCAGATGAGCTAGGGGAGCATGTGCCTCCAGATGCAACCGTTGGAGTTGATGCAAAAGGTGAAGGTGAGCACAGATTAAGATTACTTGTTTGTGGACGGGTTGTTCATATTGCCTGTACCCCTGAAATCTTATAGTGAATGCCTCGAAGTGTTTTTGTCTGCTTCTTCAGCAGAGAGGGACCTTGATATTGAGGGAGATGCGGATCTATTCGGCGATGATCGCGCCTATGGATACAACAACGAATTAGAAGAGGAAATCGCGCAGAATGACGAATTTGATCAGGAAATTTTTGGGAACGAACTTGAGCAGGAAATCGCATTAGAAGGAGAGGATGTGGATGGAAACTTAGGATTTGGACGTCCTTAGCATTCGCATTAACCTCTTGCCTCTGAGGTGAAGTTGCGCATTCAAGTGAATGCAACAGATATAGCTTAACTTCACTCTGAAAATTATCTTATTGTATCAAGAATCTACACGCGTTTAGTGCAGATGCGAACCAACACTAAGGGATACGCACACTACTATTTATGTTCGCCTTGGGGACCATCATATGGGCAAATGCGCCATCTAGAGCGGAGCTAAGTGAAAACCTGAGCAGGGTGGGGACTGCACGCAGTGAAGAGTTGAATGCTGCTCCGGAGAGCTGAAGTTCTGGATTGCGGATATGAGACGCTGGCACTCCTTTTTAAGCTTTCCCGTAGTGCTCGTATACATTGACGTCTTAGACGCAAGTAGAACCACCGCAGTGAAAATCGCAAAATTTCCATCATGGCATACAGCACTTCGGATAATATATCCCTACAGGGAGACACAAATTGCTGGTGCAGCAGTGAACCGTAGTATGTGCGCGTGCGTGAGATAGGAAGAATGAATGCTCCTATAGGGAGATTAAAATTGGAGCCCTTTGCCAAATGCAGAACTGATTGTCTTTATTTTGCATGCGCATCCTCACAGCTGTCACATACCCAACTGCCCAAAGCATGTGAGGCTTTTTGCTTGATCAAATCCTCCTGGGTGCGGATTTTGAGAATGGGGATCCTGCCTAAACGGGATGCAACCCTACGAGATATAAAAGTGGCTTTAGATCGACGACTTGAGCACCTCCTTTTATCTTGGTTTGCGTGTTGAAGGCTTAGGGAGCGGAGAGACGTGAAACGGAATTTGGAAGGCTGGTATCAATACTAATGCAAGAATACTTATTCTTGCGTGAGAGTCAGTCGCCTTGAGCTTAGACAAAGTTGCACATGTAAACGAATGAATGGACACACAAGCTGCGATAAGTACGTGCACAAGTAACCCTGTATCAACATATGCTCTTGTTCATGCCACGTGGTGTGGAAGCGCCTGTGTTGCCCTCGGCGTACTAACCGCCGAGGTGTAGCATGTTCCGTCAACATGCCACCTCACAGACGGCGAGGGTATCAGTCACAAAAAAACGTAGTTTTCCGGAAAACCAAAAGCGGCTGCTGGGATTACTGTCCCACTAGCTATCGTGATGCTCTCAGGATGTCGTAGTAATCGCCCTGGAGAGCTATCGCACTGTTTGCCGCCCCTCGTCGTGATACGCGCATTATGAATAGTTCAATATGCATATTGGCTCCCCGTAGGTGCAAAATACTTCCCCAAAGGCGCCCCCACAGGGGTCCCATGAGCCTTGTTGGGGTCTGTTGCGCGCCCGCCAAATCTTCCTTATGAAGGAATCGAGCGTTTGCGAATGCTACAAGAAAGTGGAGTCTGCAGGCTTCGTGGATTGAGATTTAAATGACAGATTGCACCTTCAGGCCCACTGCTCCTAGGCAAAGTACAAGGTATGTCACCGTCAGTGCCATGTGGCACATCTTGCAGTAGAGCCACGGATGGTTGGACACAGCCCAAGGCAAAAGAATGCGAGAGGAGCCCCGTAACTCTCGACAGCAGGGAAGTGAGCGAATCCGAGGAGCACCTTTAAAGTGGGGTGTTCTCAGTATGCCTAATAGAGCCTGTGAGTACGACGAATGCGAAGCGAATGAGGACCTCAGAGCAGGCCCTCCATTGCCACGAAGCGCTCCTGTCCGCTTTTACAGAATACTTAAAGCTGCAAAGCAAAAGCACTTTCCTGTAAGCCAATTCATCCAGCAAAAAGATATGGATGCCCTCCAGCTGACACGAAAGAGCAGATGAGGGTGCCTCGTCTCAGTCCAGATTTTTATGGAGCTGCAAAAACAGACTTGTCAACGGCTGCACGATGCCGCCTTCTAGAATTCACAGGCCCTGAAAGATACCTGTGAAGCTTTTCTATCTCTCTGCGAGCATAAGATACTAGGCGTCTTTGTCTTTGTTGAGTTCAAGCAGTTGTCTCGATATCGGTAGGTCCTGCATCTGCCGCCATCGCTGCAGAAGCGCGTCTGCCTCCCTCCCCAGCGCTGCTCGGAGAAGCAGCACCGGTCCCAGCTCCCACATACTCTGTTTTTTGTCCTCAAAAGCAAATGGTGGTATCTGTCCAATTTGTTCGTCGGCTTGCATAGCCACTTCTGTTTCCTTTGACCAACAAGTCACTCTACGTACTATTAGGCTCCGTTACGATGTAGCCTTATTTAGCCAACACTGGTTTACGACAGCCCTTATCACCAGAATACCAAGAACAGCGACAATCATGATGACATGGTTTCCGTACCTAGCTGCAGCCGGGGCAGCGCTAGCCTCTGCAGCAGCAACTCCTGACGTTGCAGGCATACAGGCAGCATTGCGGTGCCAGTACTTGCGATGACGCCTTGAACTGCAGGGGTAGTAACTGCTACGGGGGAGAGTCCTGTTACGACAACTGGCCCTGGCGCTAGTATTATTGGTACTGTGACTACACCTGGTGCTTCTAGTGGTGTAACCGCTTCGACTGCTGGAGCTGTTTCTTCTACAGGAGCTGCCACTGTTGCATGCGCCCCTATGGCTGCGTGTCCCATCGCAGCGCCAGTGCCTATATTGTTAAAGGAATCGCTCTTGGCAGCTCTGGATCCTTTGGTTGGCATTGCAATCCTTAACATCTTGACACCTTTTATAGCAGCTCCAGCCTAAACGGCGGCCGTCGATCTAGCGGCGAAGGAAGAAGTCGTGCCGCATGTGTTGCTACAGTGACCCCTCCTGTCTTGAGTTGTGATGGGCGCCAAGGCGAGGGATGTAAGCAGCGGCATCATCAAGTGTCAAGCATACAAAAACCAAGAATAGCTGTGAAGACCCTCAGGGCAAATGTTCATCAGACAGAAGTTCATGCAGTGACAACCTGGTCCACGCAGTCTCACGTAACGGTAATGAGACACAATAACAGCTTGATGGTCTTCCATCTGCAGTGGACGTGTGAGTGAAAGAGAAGCAAAGTAACCTTGAGAGTAGGACACTCATACCAATTCTGGTGGTTGGCAGATGCTTGAACAAAGGGACTCTTTGAGATTCGTCAAGTTACGGTGAACACGCCGTACAAAAGCTGCACCAGCTGATATGCAGTTCACCAGCGGCGAAAGAAGAATGCTTCCTTTCAAAGCAAAATATTCGAGAGTCAGAAGGCTAGCGCTAATTTATTGACGACACCAAAAATCAAAAGTGCTTGGCTGAAACTGGGGACTCAGCCTACTCGTCCTCTTCAGACTGCCTCACTTGGAAATCGTACAGCAGCTGTCCCGCTTGAATTTTTCCTATGCTCTGCTGCATCACATTGAATAAAAAGATTTAAGAGTACTGTAACTGCTGTAATATCTTGTTTATTTGGCGCTTTCTCAGCCTTAGGACGTTGTATATAGCGAACGAGTCACGAGGCCGCCGTGCCTTAAATAGGACTTCTGACCAGAAACCCAGGACTATGAGCTACGCACGCGACTTTTCGCTCAGCACTGTATTTAGCTGTAGCTATTGGAAATACAACAACCACGGTTTTTTAAACTTCCTTATTGCTTGTTCTAGAAGTGACCGACTGAAAACTTGCAAGAAGATACTGAGCTTTTTAAATTGACCCTTTCTCGTAGCTCTCCTTATGGTCGCTGTGTTAGGCACCCTTGACAGTATCATTGGATTTGCTCAACCAGCAATGATTTGCTCTAGCGGTTTTCTTATTGTCGCACTGGCGTTCGTTTCCACGTGCCGAGGCTGTACAGGCAACTCAGTTACGTGTACGAGCCCTGTGCCCTTCTACAGTATCTTCTATGGTAACTTTCGGCCTCCATTCTTTGTGCCTTAAACATAACATTTTAGAAACTTGCGAAACCTTTGGCAAAAAGCCATCCTACTTTCCGTGTTAAATTTCTGTTTATTTCTGCTGACACTTTTGGGTGGGCCTTTGCCTTTCGCTTGCAGCCCCGCATTGCGCCTGGCTACTCAGTGTAACCCTCCTCTGCGCCAGTGCAAGGTGAAAGACTCTGTATATGCTATAGCTAAAGGGCTTCGCGGTGAGTAACCGACCATGCCCTTTTCTGTGTCTGCCATCGAGTCGCTGCCAAATCCGTAAAGGATTTGTACGCATTTTACGCCATCGAAGTCACCCGTATCAAACATTCTCGGCCATAAGCGATATTAGGATATCTATCTTTCTGTGTAGCGGTTTGCACTATCGCAGCGTCTTTGGTCAAAAATGCTGCCACACAAGCAATATAAAAAAATATTCCATCTATGCAGCTGCTCTTCGTTGGCTGCACCTATGAAGCTGAAAAATAGTTTTCTCGCCAGATTTTTTGGTATGCTCTATTGAAGCTGATCGTATACCAAGTAGTTCCTGTGCGGAGCAGAAGCAAAATGACGCCTGATCTTGTGGCATATGGACTCATGCTGACATAAGTAGCCAAGGCTCTTCCTTTAGCTTTTGCTCAGGTAGGAGATGCGGCACCCGCCACGGCCACCACGAAGGATGGAGTGATTGCTATGACGAAGGTGAAGCTCGGTGGCCATTTGGCCTTCTCCTACATAGGCAATCGCGCAAAGAACCTTGATAACCGTGAATACATGATGCAGAAGAATTAGAAAGCGATGAGCTGAGGACCCCATCCGCGCTGGCAAGTCCAGTGGTTCGTCCCAGCAGCGGGCACACGAAGAGCCATTCAAATAATGACCTTCCCCACAATGTTCACTCAACTCAGAAAAATAGCCGATGTGTAGCGCATCGCAAGCTTTCTAAATAAGAATCTAATGTTCATGATAGCACATGCAGACTGAAGTAGAGTCTTGTTTTCGTCATCCGGCAACGATCAGTGCGTCTGAGCCGCGGCCCTTGCATAAGTGCAAACGCAAAGGGTGGTGGCTGCACGGCACAAGAATGGACGAGCGCGCTACCTTTCTGAATAGTCCCTTTAGCAGAACTAACGGGAGTGTACAGTAAACCCTATGTAAAAATTAGATGAGGACCAAAGGAG